CGATGCTAAACAAAAAAATTTCCTGATACATGTACTTCGGAAGACAAGATAAACGAATCCATGCTATCACCATGGTCGGATATGGTTGCGAGGTACTGAAATAAAACGGCCACGGTTAAACCGTTAAATATTGCCCATATATTATCCACGGCCCTTCAGCCAGGACCTTCATAGTCGATCGCCGTTGAAACCGAGTAAGAAAATACCCGTTCTCGAGATCCATAATAGTAAACGGTTTAACGGGTTTCCATAGCGCATAAGTCCTATTGGATAGGGCATTAAGGCCGATGTTGCGACCTAGCAGTTTGAGAACCACCGTTCTAGCCATGCTAGCTTCCATCAGTTTGTACGCCCGATCCGAGACCTGTATTGAAGGCAAGCCCAAACGGGTTCCTTTAATAATATCATCATCTTCCAGATAAAAAAAATTCAGGCCCTTCTTGCTCGGTATTCGAACATCCGCTGCTCCAGATAGAATCGCCGCATAGGAGGGTTGTGAGTTTTCCTGTTCATCAATGGCCATATGGGAAGGTTTGGAAGGATCGGAGACTTGATCCTTAAACCCGACTTTCTTTGTGGCATCGGACTCCGGCAGAGGAGGAGAAGGGGAGGTCATCGAGAGAAGGGGAGTTTAAATTGTAAATTTCATTAATTTTAGTCATTTCTATTGATACCCTCCATATTTTCATTATTTTCTTACTAATCTTTGTTCTCAGAATAATATATTGTCATTGTTGATAGGGATGTGCACGCGGCGGGTTTTTGGCAGCCGACTCAAATATATTAACTTTGAAAATAATTAAAATAATATATTTTATAATAATATATTTTATAATTATTTATTATATTTTAAATCATTAAATTAATATATTTTATAATAATTTTTATATTTTAATAATTAAATAATATATATTAATAATATTAAAATAAAATATTAAAATATTAAATATAATATATATGTATATAAATACAAATATAAATTAATCGAATCGGATCGAGTCTAGTCGAGTAGTTATTTTGACCTAAAATCCAACCCCGACCCACCTCAAAATTTTACACCATATCACCCGCTCCGCCTCGTCCCGAGCCCTGATTCTTTAAAAAAAAACCACCTCTATAAGATCGAGTAGGAACCCATCGGATTCAAATATTTTGACCATCCCTAATTATTGAAATGATTTTGTTTGGACTGATATTATACCTGGACGTTGTTACCATTGTGGTAGTTTTATATGTTAAAATTAATTAATGGGGTTTTATCTAATTTACTAAGATATAATGCAGAGTAATATGTTTGTTCAAATATTGAATAGTATCTCAATAAGGTATAAATGTTTAAGAATAAATTAGTATAGTTTATAAACATAAAAAGTTAAATTTATTAAATCATTGAAAATGATAGTTAAATTAATAAAATATATAAATATTGAGGATTAAAACCCATTATCATACTTATTTAAAATGATATACATCAATAATTATGTAACTATGAAAATAATAAATCTTTATTGTGATTGAATTCAAAAATATTAGTTCGATTATCAAAATATAAATAATAACAATACTTGAAGTTAGGGGTGTAAACGAGCCGAGTCGAGCTCGAGTATTGTTGTGCTCAACTCGACTCGAAAACTTTGAAATGAAGCTCGACTCGACTTTAAAACTCGCGAGCTTAAAATTTTCAAGCTCAACTCGAACTCGAAATCCTAAACTGAAGCTCGTGAGCAGCTCGAAAAGGCTCGAAATGAAAAAAATTCTTAAACTTAACTCGATTGAAGCCTCAAACTCAAACTCGAACATGAACCTTAAATACAAGAAATCTTATTATATTTTTAAAAAAAATCAATACATAAATATTAATATTATTAATAATTTATTTCTAAAAAAATAAAATCTTAATATATTATATTTTCGAGCTGCTCACGAGTTTTTCGAGTCGAATATCGAGTAGCTCGTTTCGGCTCGTTAAGAACTCGAGTCGAGCTCGAGTCGAGTCCATTCGATCCAAGTATTTATCGAGCATTGATCAAGTCAATCTCGAGTAGCTTGCGATCTGTCTCGTCTCATTTACAGCCCTACTTGAAGTGACCATCATAATATCCAACAGTGTAAAATTCGACCTCAAATTTCAGTTTTTCACGTGGCATTTTCTATAAATATGAAATGAAATTAGGTTAAATTAGGGGTGTTCAAATATAATCCGATTAAAAAATAACTGAAAATCGATCTAAAAAATTGATAATCGAAAAAAATCAAAACCGATTTAGTGTGTTTGTTTTTTTTTAAAAATCGATTGATTTGGTTTCGGTTTAGAAATCCGGAACCGATCCAAATCGAACCGATGAAATGGAATGTTGAATTTACAAGCTTGAAAGAAACCCATCAAAAGCCCCACAAAATCTCACAAAACCCAGATACAGATTCAGTTTTCCTCGACACGCAGTAACAATTTTACTCTAGATTCTAGTCATCGATGCCAATGAAAAAAAATAGTGCAATAAATGATAATAGCAAAGAAGGATAGTATAGTCTTTTGGTATTTCCTCAATTATGAGGTAAAGAGAAAATTATCGGGCAAAACTTAGAAAATATATCGTTTTACTTTATGGGTGACTTACTGACGAGAAACTGATTTGTTTCTTGATTTGTTAAAATATATATTCTCTTTGCTTTTGTTATACATATGTTGTTTTTTATGGAAAAAATTAAAGAATTATTTTGAAAAATTAGAATCCAAAAACCGCACAAATCCAAACCGAATCAAACCGCACTTAATTGAATCGAATCGGATTGAATTTTTTTAGAAACATCTAAACCGCAAACATTAATATTTTCGGATCAGATGAATTTTTAACCAAAAATTGATCCAAACCGACCGCGAACACCCGTAGGTTAAATGAATGTTTCGTATTTGAGTTTGACATATCAACTATTTTCCAGCAAGCACCGTTGAATTACTATAAATTAATTTTGAATGAAAATGACAAGAAATTCTCTAAACTCAGCAACAAGTTTGTCATATTCGGCCACAAACATTTCGTTCCAAGTGGAAAATATGTAGGGTAAACTACATGTATAGTCCCTAAATTACATGGTTTGATTTTAAAATTTACAATTCCATCAATTATGTTACTTAAATATTTGAATAATATCAATCAAGTCGCTGACTGTTAATGGAATGGTGATACATGATTATATTTTACAATCCGACATGATAAAAATGTAAACACAAAAGAAAAGAAAAGGATAGTAATTAATGAACCTAAGGCAAAAGGTTAGAGTGTTAGTGCAATGATCGCTTAACTAAGTGTTTTTTTTTTTACTTGATTAAACATTGCTGACCTATTCTTTTAAATGCTATCCTATTGATAAAATTTAAAGATAGAAAGATTTGAATTTGGATGTAGGAGAATACTTAATCATTGAATCAAGTCCTTAAACCATATTTTATCCCTAATTAAAAATAAAGTATGTAATTATAAAAAAATTACTTAAATGTCGTGTTAATATTTTTGTAAAACAATATAAAAAGGTAAATATGCAATTTATTCCTTAAACCATATCTCATCCCTCGTTATAGTGCTTATGGTAAATATGTCATGTTAGGGTAGGAACTAATTCAATATTTTAGTTTAAGGGGACAAAATATAATTAACAATAAAAAATAGAAGGGTGAAATCTAAATAAATCAAAACTTAAAAGTCTAAATAGGTATTTATTTATATATATTGTTTAATAATAAAAAATTTGGGGCAGTGACCCCCTAAACTCTATGTACTTCTGTCCTACGTTAAGACGACGTAAGACAAAAAATTTTATAATAATCAAATCCATAAACATTTTCTATAAGTACCGCAGCATTGTAGATGAGATGAATTTAGGTTTTTATAATTAGTATGGTATATTTATCAATCTCATTGTAGCATAAAATATCTGAATATTGAATTTAATTCAATTTTATCGATAAAATTGTCCTAATATTGTCTTTTTAAAAGATTCTCCCATGTAAGGAGCTGGAAAATTAAGTGGCTCTAAATTATCAAAAGTATAGGATCAAAATGATATTTTCACATAGTAAAGATACTTATTCAGTACTTTTACCTCTATTTGTTTTTCAATATCCCAGAATATTAGTAACGAAACAAGACGTCTCTCTTTCGGCTTCGATTCCCTTTGAGTGGTCTGGCCTCCTTGCCTCTTTATTAGTCTTGTTCTCTGCGTCACTCTTTCGCTTTCTTTCATGCGTCTCTCTATTATTTACTGCAACTAAACACTTGTAATCATCCCTTTTACTATTTCTTTTCTTCCTCTAAGTTTTCCTCTGCTCCTTCCATCGATATTTTAGGTTCAAGAAAGTATACTTTCTTCTGCTTCAGATTTCATTCTGAGGGGTTGTTTTTGTTCCTTTCCTTGTTAAATTTAAGTTTAGTTGGTTTCCTTTCTGGGTTTGCGTTATTTGATTTACTTATGTAAAATTATTAGCATAAGATTTTGTATGGAATTCTGTTTTTTTAAAGATCCTGCTCGAATCTGGTATTGGAGACCTCAACTCATGTTCATGTAAAGCTTAATGAGAACAGTATATATGTATGCTTTATAATTAGTTACTTTTCTTGGTGTAGGTATTGTTTTCAAGATTTGAATCCATGAAACTCTTGCTTAGGCTAAATCAATACTTGTATTTGAATATATAGTCCACTTAATTGGTTTGTGCCTAGTTTTAAAGTGAAGTAGTTAAAGGTTTGAATTACCTTGCTTCAAGAAAGAATAAAGATGTGGTATCCTCCTGTTGGAATATCACTATTGGACCCCAAATTTGAGTGGACCATCTGATTCCAAAACCATGGTTATCTTTTAATTTCCATTAAAAACTTAGTGCGTTCTATTCATTACCTTTTTCCTCCTCCGTGAGATTGGAGTCGAGTGAAATGATAAATCTGTCTAAGGTTGCTTAGTGCTTATTGAACCTGTAGGTGCTTTCTGCCTATCATGTCTATTTGTTAGCTTTGTTGATTGGCGACGACTCTGCATTTCATTCGTTAGGTGTGTTTAGTCTATGTTGAAGTGTGTTTTAGAAAGAAGAAAAAGGTCAACATGCTTGCATATTTAAGATATCTTATGTGCCTATGCTATTTAGTGAAGTGTTTTTTGTTTAACTAGTTGATTGTAGCTTTTCTGTAATAATGGCCCTGTTATTTGCCTAGATTCCATCCTTTCTTAACACCAGTTCGTCTTCTATGTATCACTTGGCTCAATAGAATTTTTCTTGCTTGTTTCAGACTTTCAGTAGGTTCCAGTTGTCATCTCTTGGAAGAGGGTGTAATTTGGCAGCTCAGGCCGCAATTTTTTCCCTGCAACATAAACATATGTTTGTTTTCCATCGACGATTGACATTAAAGTAAAGAACCATGCTAAAGGAGAATAATACAGGCCACTCATCAGCAACCACTTCTCGGGTTCGGCACCGTAAACGATCTAATGAGGTTGGTTACTCAAATGTCGATGTGTGGGTGGATTTTTGTTCAATGGTCATAGATTTTTGTTGCCGTCACATTTGTATATTTCCATTTGCAAGAAAGGGATTATTTTTTAATTTCTTAAAATTGAAATATGCTATCAGGTTATTCCAGAACCTAGCAAAGCCAATGGTGGAAAATTACTTGTTGATGACAATAACAAATACAAATCAATGTGGATCCGAACATACTCTACTGTCTGGATGATTGGGGGTTTTGCATTAGTCGTCTACATGGGTCATCTCTATATTACTGCTTTGGTGGTGGTTATCCAAATATTTATGGCAAAAGAGTTATTCAATCTACTCAGGAAAGCAAATGAAGATAGGCATCTTCCAGGTTTTAGGCTGTTAAATTGGTTAGAATACTACCTTTTCTTTCAATGTCTTCCAAGATTTTTCATTCCTTAAAAGAATCTTAATAGCATCTTTTTTCATATCATTATAATGTACTTAGCTTTGCTTTTATTGGCACAGGCACTTCTTCCTCACTGCAATGTTGTTTGTATATGGTCGCCTACTCAATCAACCACTTGTCAATACCGTAACTTCGGATAAATTTTTTTATCAGTTTGTCAGCAGCCTTATCAAGTATCATATGGCTATTTGTTACTTCTCGTACATTGCAGGTTGGTTAAGCATATATTTTATGTTTTCAACTGAAAGCATGGAGGATTAATCATGTCAAGCATTCATCAAATAATATCTTAAATTTCTCTTTGGAACAAAGTGGGACTAGATGTTCTCTCTGTGAACATCTTTATTGTTTTCTTATATGTCAGATGGTTTCTTTCCTGTTATACAGTGATTGCACCTTGAAATTCTCTTCTATTTCGTAAAAAATAATCTATATAACTATTGATATCATTATATTTTTGGTTTTCGGTTCTTGGGATCAGGTTTTATATGGTTTATTCTTACATTGAAGAAGAAGATGTACAAGTATCAGTTTGGCCAGTATGCATGGACACATATGATTCTTATTGTGGTGTTCACGCAGTCATCCTTTACTGTGGCCAATATCTTCGAAGGAATATTTTGGTAACTTTTCTTTTTCAATCACCCTTTTATTTAGATGTGCAAATATATATATATGTGTAACCATTCAAAATGAAATAAAGTAGAAAAGATCTATATTTTTTAATTTTTGATATATTCAACGTTGTCGGTACTTTCATTTTCTTACTCTCTCTGATCTTTTTCTTCTTCTTTTTATTCCAGGTTTCTTCTTCCAGCATCGCTTATCATTATCAATGACATTTTTGCTTACATCTTTGGTTTCTTCTGTGGAAGAACCCCGTTAATCAAATTATCTCCAAAGAAAACATGGGAGGGGTTTATAGGAGCGTCTGTCACAACTATAATCTCGGCATTTGTGGTGGGCTTTGTTTTTCCCTTTATGGAGTTGACTCCATCTTGTTTGTAGTTAGGGTTCCATTCATCATCCAGTTTTACATCACACTAGTAACACATGTCAAATAATGCAACAATCCAGCTGTCTATATAAATATTCGTTTTCAGCATCCTTCTCACTGTTCATTTGTAAAAGTCCAGGATTAGTGAAATGACACGTATTCTTGGCAGTAAACCTCTGAAAATTCATCCTAATCCTGTAATCGGAAGCTCTAATTCTCTTGCCTTAATTACTAGGGCTGAATGAGAAGTAAATTTTAAAAACTTATTTTTGTCATCATTTTCTTTGCTCATTGTGCTCCTATAACAGGAATACATGAACCTTTAATGAAACAGGAAAGCTTTTGTTATTTGTCTTTCATTTTTGTTAGGTTTTCATCCCATCATGTCTGCATTAACATGGAGTGAGTTTTTGCATCTGCAGCTTGCGAATATCTTGGGTCGTTTCGAGTGGCTAACCTGTCCCAGGAAGGTAATTATTGTATTCAACTTATTATCCTTTGATCCTTCAATAAGTATGCCACTTTCTTCTTACCAAAAAAAAAAGTATGCCACTTTCTTTTTCAGAAAACTTAGGATGATAGGGTAATGATTGCAGGATTTATCAACTGGTTGGCTTCAATGTGACTCAGGTCCATTATTTAAACCAGAGTCTTATGCTTTACCGGGATGGATTTCTAAATTGGTAAGCCTACATTCATATATGAATTTATTGCCCGTGGTCAAACTTGAAGGCCAGGAACTTTGCTATGGATAGGTTTAGAAGTCACCTGTGTTACGAGTTACATTGCTCCATCACTTGCAGTTTACTTGGAAAGAGATCTCTATTTTGCCGGTTCAATGGCATGCTTTATGCCTCGGTTTGTTTGCATCAATTATAGCACCGTTTGGGGGCTTTTTTGCTAGTGGTTTTAAAAGAGCTTTCAAGATCAAGGTACAAACTTCTTTCGTATTCTATATTCAGGTTTCGACATAGCTTTCCTTTGATACCGACTAAAGTATCAAATGTTAACTCCGCTATGAATATTGCTACAGGATTTTGGTGATAGTATACCGGGACATGGTGGAATTACAGATAGAATGGATTGCCAGGTGAGAAAATTGATACTTTTTAAACAAGCTTTTTCTCAACTCAGCCTTTTCGAATGGTAATGCTAAACTAGTCCCGAGTTAAAAGGCTTTGTATTTTGGCTCTAACGAACTGTCATATTGGTTCATCTAAACCGTAATGTAGATGGTGATGGCGGTATTTGCATATATCTATCTCCAGTCATTTGTTGTACGTGAGGGCATCTCGGTTGATATGATCCTGGACCAGGTAAAAATTTTAATGGGGTTTTCTTGTTTTTACTTTGGTCCATCCATATTTTAGTACTGCTACACTATTCGTGGTTTGGGCTTTTCATTGTTCTTAAACCACCCATGTTTGAAACTTGTGTCAAACACTTGGATATGGGGATATGACATATAAGGATCCTCCTGATACTTGAAAAATTTAGACCAGTTTGATCATACATGAAGTTTGAGTGATACAAGCTGCAACTAGTATACATGGTGTTCGTTGCTATGCAGATGTTAACAAACCATATACATGAAAAATCTTTAGAAAAGTCCAGTCATACCTCTATTCGACACTTACACCCGAGTCTAAAGTAACATATGCTACAACTAGTATAACCATAGATAAGTTATACATGGTGTTTGTCGCTAGGCATATATCAACAAACCAAATACAGGAAAAATCCCAGAAAAGTCTAGCCATACTCGTGTCTGTCACTCAAACCAACTAGTATAAGCATAGATAGGTTATACATTGTGTTTATATGCAGATAATTACAAAACCAAATACGTGAAAAATTATTAAAAATGTCTACCCATACTCGTATCCGACACACACAACTGAGTCCGAGTAACATAGGCCACAACTGGTATTAAGGATATACATGGGTGTTTGTTTCTGTGCAGATATTGACAAGCCTTAGTTTAGAGGAACAACAAATTCTTGTGATGAAGCTTGGGCAGATCTTGCAGGAAAGAGTTGGACAATCTTAAAATGTGTTTTGATTATGATCATTATGTGTCTATGCAAATTACGTTGGCTCGTCCTTTCTCCAACCTGTGATTGTCTTATAACAACAGACAACGATGCTTCTGTACATGGTGGTGTGTCATTTTCATAGTTTTAGGCAAAGTGTTATTCTTTCTGAGCTCGCTTTGTACAGTCAGTTTATGTTAGTTCAAATATGGTCAATTACTTTAACTAATGTATATGAAAACGGAATTTTTTTTTTACTAGTGTCGCTTCGCTTTAATCTCTCTGTCACTTCGATTTTTGTCATTCTATTTTTGGTTTTATAACTCTTTTCTCCCTATATTTTAGCCTAATTTTCAGTTTGCCTCTTGTATTATTTAAAAATTATGATAAAAAAATCACATGGAGAATATATTTTATAATATAACTCTCATAGAAAATTCGACTCGTTACCAAACGAGCTGATCGAGCAAAATCCGATTTGATTCGATAAGTTCGCAACTTGTTAATTTTTTAATAATTTTTTAATAGTTATCTTCGTAACTATATTATTTATACCGAGTTATCTTCTAAAATATTTTTTAGATGTTTTGCTTTTTAATTTTAAATCGTTATTTGTTAGAAAAATTTTGATGACTAATCAAATGTGACATGTTACCTCTTAAATTTTATTTTCTTTATATGAAAAAATAAAAAAATTAAAAAAATAAAATACTAATATACCAAAATTGCCTCCCCTGCACCGTAACTTCATCCCTTTCCTTTACCCAATACCTCTGCTTTTCCCTTTCTTCATTTTCCTCCATCTCTCTTCGACTTCCTTTACCCTCTACATCACTCCTTCCACCAGCTTTGAGGGTAAACTCAAAAGCAATGTTCATTAGCCCACCATTGCATCCTGAATCACATGAACCTTTCTCTCACAGATCACACTGTAAATCGTTTCGTAGCTTTTTCTTTTCATTTTCGAAGATACATCTCAAATAAAACTCAGTTCTTGTTTTTCGGAGTAGATCTGTATAATCTCCCCCTTCATCGATTTCGTGAACGGTTAAGTTAGTTTGGGTTTTTAGTTTAAAGCGATTTCATGCAATCGAATATTTCTTTTGATTTCTCAAGAATCTTTTATCTACTTTTACTGTCAGAGATTCTTTTTTGAATTTATTTCTGCTGATATTTTTACTTTTTGATCTTTTTTGTATTTTTATTTTCCTTCCAAAGACATTATAGTCTGAATCTATATTTAATTTTTCACTATCTATTTTGGTTGGCATGTTCTTGACCAAGTGGGTTTATTTATTTGTTTTGAGTTTTCGTTTTCGAATAATATCGTATGGAATATTTATGAAACTAACCTTTCTACGTGTATTGATTCTAATGGGTGTTTTTTTTTATTCTCAGTTTGGTTCTTTTTAAATGAAAGTATGTACTGTGAATGGGAGGGGTTAAACCCGAAGCCGATTCCGGTAACATCCAACACTTCTTTTGAAGATAGCAAACATCCTAATGTAGATATGAATCACCTAACTGTAGTGACTGAAGATACTTTTGCAAATCTGCTTGAGCTTGCCGCTAATAATGATGTCGAGGGCATTAAACGATCGATTGAGCATGATCCTTCCGGTGTTGATAAGGTTGGGTTTTGGTATGGTCGTCGGAAAGGCTCGAAACAGAAGAGAATAAAAGAAGCCAAAGAGAGATTGCGTACACAATGGAGAAAGGAAAAACAGAGGTGTTGAGGTTAGGGAAAGGGGGTGTTGTTACGGTGGAGGTGAGATTGAGGGAAGAGAGAAGAGGGGTAATTTTGGTATATTAGTATTTTATTCTTTTTAATTCTTTTTTTATTTATTTAGATAAAAAATAAAAATTGAGAAATGACATGTCATGTTTTGATTGGTCACTGATTTTTTTTAAAATGGAGTTAATGTTTTGGGAAAAACAATTTAAAATTAAGGGGATAAAATGACCTGAAAAATGTTTTAGGGTGCGTTTGGTTCACGGAATGTAAGATTATCAGTGGGAATAAAAAATTATTAGAGAATAGGATTACTGGAAATGTTATATTTTGTGTTTGGTTGGTTTAGCAGGAATGTAAGATTATCGTGTTTGGTTAAAAGAATAAAATATTATTGGAATGTATATTTGATCAAATTATCATTATTATATATTTTGTTTTTTTAACAAGTTGGAAAATATTTATATATTTTCTTTAAAAAAATTAAATTCATAAAATTTATATAATTGTTTTTACAAAATTGAAAATATAAAAAGGTTTAATGAAAGGGTACAATTTTATTTTAACCCCTGAACAATTTTAATTAGATTTTTTTTTTGTAAATCTAAAATAGTTTAAGGATAAATTTGTAATTTAACATTCGTAGAATTTTTTATTATTCAATGACAGAATAAGAATATTTTTGAAAGAAAAAAAAATTAAGGGCATTTTAGTCCAAAACGCCGGTAATCCAACAATACCTAAGGAAATAGAGGTAATGACATTCCCGATAATATACCCCAAAAAATTCACTATTGGTAATGTAAGATTATTGGGAATGACATTCCCGACCAACCAAACAGGAAAATGTGGATTCCATTCCCATGAGAATCTCACATTCCCCCAACCAAATACACCCTTAGGGTAACTTGGTACAAACAGTATAATTCAGGGGTAATGGTGTATTTAAGCCTTATCTTAAAAAAAATATTTGTTGAGTTAATCGATCGACGGAATCGGGCAAGAGGGGGGTGAATTGACAATTAAAATTTTGGTGGAAGCTTTTGCAGAAAATTGAAAGTAATTTCACATCGATTTAGAGTAGTTCGACTTTCTCAATCAAAGTCTACGTCCACTACCTTAACTATCTACACTAAGGATTTTCCAACAAATTCACTAATTTGTTCTTTCTTTTGAAGCCAAAGAGATAACCTTACAACTCCCTCAAGAATATACCCCAATTCTTGAGAACACTCTTTCTCAAAGAGAAGATTACAAATTTGCAAACTTACAAGGAAATCCTCACAAGGTAGATTGTTTGTACAATTCTAGAACAAAGAAAAGAACACTAAAAAATGAATACAATTGAGTAAAAGTAGTGTTCTTGAAAGCAAAATGAATATTGAATGAAAAATAGACTTGAAATGCTCAAACTTGAGGTTTGATGCTTTCTATTTGATTCTCTCTTGATTGTTGTTTCTTGTTATTGATCAATGGCTTCTAAGCTTGTTTAAATACACCTTCAAATGATTCTGAATGTTGGGGATGCTTAGTGGAGTCAATAGAGCCGTTTAAGTGTGAAAACAATTAATTAAAGCAGTTGGGAACGTCAGTGCGTCGATGCATACCCATGGTGCATCAGTGTAAAATTCAAATATTTTGACCGTTGGACCCTTAGTGCATCAGTGCACTAAGAGTGCATCGATACATCAAGTGCATTCGATGTTTCAAAATAGCCAGAGTGCATCGATGCATGGTTGGTGCATCGATGCATCAAATGCATTCGATGTTTTCATAAAATCCTCAATGCATCGATGCATGGTATGTGCATCGATGAATGAAATGCATTCAATGTTCAATTTAATTCATGGTGCATCGATGCATGGATTAGTGCATCGATGCATCACTTTGATAAATTGATTTTAGGCTTGATTTTGGTTCAAAATACTTTATGAAATTTGTTTCAAAAATAGTTTAAGTATAAAACACAATTTTACACATTTAGTAAGGTTTGAATTTGAACTTGAAAGACTTGGAGTAATAATTTGATATTCGATTAATTAAATCGAATATACTTAGAAAATCATTTGTAAAATCTTAAAATTCATTTAAACTTAATTTGTTATATCGAAACACAAAAATATTTTCAACAATCTCCCCCTTTTTGATATAACAAAACATTTGTGTTATTTTAAGATTTTCTAAAATTTTGAAATCAATTTTGAAAAATTACTCCCTCTTACTACAACACTTCTCCCCTTTAACACTTTTACACTTCTTCCCTTTTTTGTTAAATCAAAAAAGATATTAAAATGTTTTAAACAAGGTTTTGAAAAGTATAGCCAATTGATTTTAAATATATATATATATATAGCTTAAGCTGCTAAGATCACAATCAAAAGAGAGATTAGCCATTAGTTCCATAACCAATATTCATAAACAAATGTGAAATGACATAATTGGTCATATATATCTAATGATGCAAAAGTAAGATAATTCAACCAAACCAAATATATATATTAAGTTCAAAATCCAATCATCCAAACCATAACAAATTCAAGCATTTAATAATCCAAAACAAACAATCCATAAACATAAAAAACAATCCAAGTTTGAAATACTAAGAAAGCATGGAGAAAAGGTCTAATCCATCGGAGGGTCGGGAGGAGGAGGATAATGAGCTCGAACTTTAAGAGTGAGCGCGTCCATACGTTCACGCATCTCCCGCTGAAACTCAATAATCTGAGACTCCATGGAGGCAAACCTCAGATCAAACGATTCCAAGAAGGATTGAAAATATGGTGGCATTTGATCTTCTTGCCGTGCCGGTTCCGGTGCAGGCTCATCGTCTGGAACATGATCATCGATATCTTGCATAAGTTGTTGAAACTCAGGATCATCGTCAGCAGCCGGTGCCGGAGGAGGAGGAGGGGCACGAGAAGAGCTAGGAGCAGCTCGTGAAGAGCTAGCTCCCGGAGTTTGCTTACCGGGTCGAAATACCCAAAGACCGATTTCCTCGTCTTGTTTCCAATCCGCTTTCTTCAAGGAAGTAAGATTGATTTGATTTTGGAGTGAGATAGGATTGTCGAGAGAGACGTTTAGACCGAGTTTGATAAAGAGGTTACTCAGAAGATATCCATAAATCAATGTTTCAACATGTTTTGAAGGAACAATGTTTATGATATCCACTAGTTGACTAAAAATAATGTGGGGCAGATTTATTTTGATCTTATTTCTAATACAGTGCATCAACCATAAATCCCTAGCACGAAGAGTGGAGTACCTACCTCCGGATGGTCTAAACCACCAAGAGATCATCAAATGAAGAAAACGATCGTGATGAGATCATAGAGTACTAACACTAGAATTTGGAACATAGGGATATTCCACATTTTCATTTTCATTATATAACCCATCATCATCTAACCCAAAACGAAAAGTTATAGTCTCGGAGTCAATATTAATATATTCGCCTAAAAGATAGGATCTAATGGCTATAGTCCCACATTGAGTTTCGTTTTGAATACATACCGCTTTGGAATAGAA